ACAAACGACCACATTGTGCTAGGTTTCACAAACCCTAATAGGGAAGACCGGCATTGCTGACCATTTCCAACTAGCAGCTTATCGGTAGCGCAGATAGCTTATCGAGAACCTAAATTTGTCTCCGTTTGCTCACCGCTTCAAAGTGACTCGTTTCCACATAAATATCTCGGCGTCTAGAACGCGAACATTCTAATGCCTTCGGCACGCTGTTGTAAAGCGGCCAGAGTTACAGTTGCAGTGCTGCATGCCATAAATCAGCCATTCATAGTTTTTGATTAAGACTGCCTCTCCAAGAATTCAGCACGTTTTCAAGACCGTACCTTGAATATACGATTTGAGTCTGGAGACCCTTGACACAGCCGGACTGTAACCTACTCGAAAAAGTGCAGACGCTAATCGTAAAATTAATAAACCAATGAGAACAGCAATCTGAAACCTGCCTAACCAACCTAAATAGTTGTTCTTTGAGTTGTGAGCAGTTTTGCGGGGACGTTGGTGCTGACCTTTCGTATTTTACGCGACTTAGAGTGCGCTCTCCAATGTGAGGACTACATCCAACTCGTCATAGAACCCAATCTCCGGGGACATCCGTTCGAATGCGCATTTCCCGAGGAAGATTTGGCATGATAAAGTATTTTTTCGCAAATTATATGGTGAAGCCATGGAATTACCGGCCTGAGGATGTTGTAGTGTTTGTGGACAGTTTCATAAATCGTCTTTGGAGACATGCTGCAGAAAAAAGTGGATTACGTGACCGCGTAAACTTGAAACGAATGTATTTGCGTGAAGGTAACTCTAATTCCACGTAACGCTGTGATTTCTTTACATTATCGCTAATTCTTCCGATTGGTATGTGGCAAATAGGAAGTTCAAAGGCAAAAGCCTATTTCTCTCAGACACGCTGAACTGAGTCGAACATGCGAGTATTGGAAGCACGAAACGTTCCCCCATATGTTGTGGGTACATATTTAGCCTGCTGTGCATATAGCTGTGGTCACTTGCCCAAGTCTAATTTAAATTCCAAAAAGTTGTGTTGTTCGGAGTTTGCGGTCCCTCTCATACGTCCCTCTTATTTCCCCGTTTTCCAGGTCCTGGTGTTCTGTGATAGTATATTATGCCTCTGTTTCGTTGCCCTTTCGCCGCTGTATTTTAAGTTTTCCTCCCACAACTCCTTTAGTTTTGTTCAATCCAACTTGAATATTTTAACAGAAGCGGCGCCCTATTTTGAGTAGTCCCGCTCTTTAACTTCTCAACGCCGAGGGCGCGCCCGGTAAATTCGTGTGTTTGAGGACGGCACTGACATGAGGACACGGTCGCGTTCGGCTCAGATTAGAGCGGCAGGAGAGAACGAAGTAATTGCCTCCTGTTTATCACTGTAGCCTTTTTTGTGCTTATGCGTCTTATGCTGATAACGAAATACCCGGTCTTTTGAATCTGTCTGATATGGGCGTCGTGGGATATCCCACGATATAACATATGTTACTATCAAGGCCAGCCGTAATATCGAAATGATGACATAATGCTAACGTGTCTGTGGCCTTTTCATGACATGCCGTTGGCATAGTCGGTCCATCGACGTGTTTATATTTCGTCGGCACGGTCGTGCCAGCTGGCAAGGTTCAAGTTTCCGCCGCACCCGTTTAACAACCCTGCTTAACATACCTCGACCACCATACAGGCCGTGCTTATCTTTTCCGCTGTATCTTATCTTTCATTCGCCTTTGACTAAAAGTCATCCTGAGTAATAAGTTCATTTACAAACGGTAACGTGCGTATTGAAAGCGTTATTGGTCGGGCATCTGTAGTATTCTCTCGTCGACCCACTTTTGCCGGTTTGCGAGATCTTAACTGGATACAACAAGGACAGTTCGCACTGAGTTAATGAGTTCGGTACTTTCTTGTATCTCTGCCTCTACTCCATTTCTGGAAAACTTTTGAAAGGTACCTCACGATACTATAGACTGTGAAAGCCTAGTGCACTAGGCGACACACACAGAGGAGGTGATTAACATGTTAATCACCTCCTCTGTGTGTATCGCCCTGTAACTGCCGAAGACGGTGAAGGTAGCACACACGGGGCAACTTGAAGCACTGGGGATAACTCCTGACTTAGAACAAATGGAAAAGAGTGGCTGGGCACGTCACAGCACTCATCCAGGCGACAAAGTAGAAGAAGAATCTGACAAGCACATGCATATGTATTATAGAAACAAGAAAGTTGCATCGGGGAGGTGATCCGTCTGGATGGGGAGGCGACGCTAGCATGCCTGCCAAACAACCGGTGAGGGATACAGCGCCGTGGGCAGCTGCAGAGGAGAGTCGTGAAAGATGCCGGCGTAATGTGCAGGACGAGTGTTACGGGGAGTCGGCAATTACGTGGGGAGAGGGCACCTGCTATTTTCACTGACGTGGTTACATCATTTCTACCCTGTTTTCGCGTCAAAAGTGTTTATGTCATTCAGACGGCCCAGTCTAATTCGAAGGACGTTAAAGCTCAACAACTGACCCTTCCTCTGTCGCCGTCAATATTAAATAGACCAATCACGTGTTCTATTCTGAGGGTTCATAGCATGACCCCTGAGACCCTGGCGTCGTATGTGCTATCAGGGGGTTAAAAGTTTACTTAGCCAGTTATTCCAGTAAGGAAACACACAAGTGCAGTTTGCTGGCGATCTTCAGGATCTTAGTGAAACGTCAGACTCACCGAAATCCTCTGTTTTTTGGTACGGTGGCAGCGGACTCTCCATCTGTGTGGAATATAATTGACACGCATGGCTAGCACTGTGTTAGGATCCCTTGGAGAGTGACAACCCGTCTGTTTGTGTCTCGTGGTAGTTCTTTGTCTCATTCGTAGACCTACTGCTGCTGATAGGTCTCTGATCAAAAAAGCCTGTAATAATACTCTGGTTTGTAGTGTGACGTTAGAAATCCACGATTATACTGGATTTGGGGGAGGGCGTACAAAACACGTCCAGCTACGAATGCATGGTATGTCAGTACAGCCCGTGCACCTCCTACTCAGAGACTGACTGCCCGAGCTACGAACAGAAACCATCGTGATTCGTTGTCTAGGGATCGTGCTTATACAATTTAAAAGAATGTGTCAAGACGATTGACTTGCACAGGCAAAGCACTATAAAAGATTTATTGCGGTTTTCACATTACCCATTAGCCTGCCCACTTACCGCTGCTGACTACTCTTAGTATGTGGAAAAGTGCACATTTATTTTATCTGCTCGGTACGCTTAGTGTTGACAGAGACGCTGTCTTCTAGTCCAACGTGGCACTCGTTTTACAGAAACCCTTCAACCCTCTCCACGTCTTTCCTCCGGTGCTGTCACTGGGGTTCATTGTAAGAACGTGCCTTATGTGCGCCAAGTCCTGAAGATACCATGGGATAAATAAGCACGTATATGAACTGCGAGTAGATAATGTGGTAACGGTCGCAGCTGATACGTATAATGCTCCTGGTGCAGACTAGCTGGTGAGTCCAGTCGTACGTGAGGTCATCACCATCGATTGCAAAGGAGCACCAGGCACAAAAGACAACAACAAGCGTCCGTCTTTTACGACCACGAATCACAAGCCCATTCCTTCGCTCTTGGGAAGGTTTTTACCAGAACAACTACATTCTTGTTACAGTCTCTGGCTACAACAATAAGGCGACTTTTGAGCCTGTTGAATGCTACAGGATAGCAGTCCCGCGGAACCGAACAATTACATAAAACTTTTATGAGTGCGTCTACCAATGACGCCTTTTGAAATCGATACGTCCTTAACTCTGACGCCTTCCACCAAAGGTCGTTATTTCTCTTTGTCGCCGGGTGAATTCGCGCGATAGTCAGCCGTTACTGGAAGTAGTCCGCCGGTGACGGTGCGCACTGACGAGGACGACAGACTTCAAGTAATGATCAGTTGACCTCAATCCAAACAAATTTTTCATTAGGCATAGGCTTTAAAAGACGCCGAATTCAAAATACTTTAATAAGTACCAGTTGTGTTACTCCAGAGCGCGCTCACAGCCGAAACCACTGGTATCGAAAACGACAATGCGATCGAGACCATATTTAGTGGTGTTGCCTTCATTTCCTATACTCCTGATTGATCTCGACGCGCGTGATTACTAACAGCGACTTGCCGCGTCTCTGTCGTGCGGGCACATCTTGCCCAAACCATGATAATGCCACTTTCCTGCGCAGGCACTTGCACTGTGCCTGCTCCGCCAGTTATTGCTTCATAATCATTGATTTATCAAGTTCCCGCCCTGGTCTAATAACCCACGATTCACTCCGCCCCATGCGTACCTCGACCAGTCCTCGTACGGTTGTTTTCTTGTCAGATCGCTAACTACATCCCTCACTGGTGCTAGCATTTGTCACTAGGGAAAGGACGCTAGAATAACCGTTTGGCAGTCAGTTATTACTGATTGTTAATTCTTAACCGGTCGCCTACTTGGGCCGTAGACCAATAACTCCAGGTCAAGACGTAACCGCCTCCGTATTTCGTCATACAATAGGGGCAGGTGGATGGATTCCGCTCCGGTGCCTGCGGTTTTTCATCGGTTTCGAATTTCATAAACCGAACATCTCGGCACAAGGTTTAAACGTCCGAAGAGGCGCCCACCGACCCAATAGCACCATGACGGAAGGACCTCTGCGTACATTTACTATGGTCTTATGGCCAAACTCAACCAGTGTGGTTATCGGTTCTTCCATTATAAGGCATCACAATTGGTCGCGAGTATAGGTTAAACCGCACGTTCTTATTAACATCTCAGTGTATCAAAGCCATGACCTGAAAAGCCTGATGTTTCACCATTCGGTACGGCAAAACGGCCGGCCGTCGTCTGTTGGAAGTCATGCGCTGCCCTTTCTTCCCA